GGAGAGAAATGTGACGCAGACACGGCAGGTGAGGAGTCGTGATATCATATCCGGTGTCCGTGATTCAATAACCATCAACACCTCACCGCAAGTTGCCTCCTCGTTAGGATTGCCACTTGCCCTCGTAAGTGTTTCAACCGCTTGCTGGGAAATGGTGTGCGGAGGCCTGTCATGGCGGTCGTTCGAGATCGGTCGCCGATAGGTGCAATGGATGGACAGACTCCGGCACCGTCTGAAACCGTCCGCACATGTCTCTTCGCGAAACCCGGTTATACGTACAGCACCGGCTCGTCCATTCCTACAGCCTACAGACCTCCGGCCACGAGCCGGTACCAGAAAAAAGAATGGTGGAACTCGACGTCCCGCAGGCCCAGGCCCGGCAGATGTTGGCACACTTGTGTTCACAGGCTGGGCAAAAACAGGCTCGGAGGTAGTGGAGGTAATTCCTTGCTTCCCCCACCCTGCCCCACAAAAGAAGCGGGACTCTTCTGGGAAAAAAAAAAAGAAAAAAAAAAGCGGGACTTCCACCTGCTGCTGTCGGATCATGCTGCGGCGACGGTAGGGGATGGCCGCACGCCCAGACGACTAAACTACAGGCCGTGGGGTGGGACCTGGCCCCTGGTGGTTCAGATGGACAGTCGGGGCCCGCCCTGACCCTGAGGGGGCCTGATATGCACTGTGGCCGGCCCCGCAGGATGCCCAGATATAGTGGGTGGGGGTTTCAGTCTCTGCCTTGTGAATGGGCTATGGCTGTTCATCACGGAATGAGAAGTTCCCTATTTGTGTGTAGGGTGAAATCGTATGAGGTCCTTTGATCCGCATTCTTACGTGTAGGCGGTGCGCCGTGCTTTCGCTCTCGGCGTGGAGTTCACAACCGGTAGCGTCTGAAGCTTCAGGAGTTCCGGGTCGCGCGTTCGCCGCCAAAATGGTAAGCTAACATTGCGTGCTGTCCGCCATGACGTTAGGCGAGGGGAAGTTCTGACGGAGGAACGGGCACTGGAGTCTTGGGGAGCGTCAAGATGACAGAGGGATTGAGGAAGCGGCGGAGCACGACGGGGGGCATGGTGCCGTGGTATGCTTGTGACGGGGGCGAGATTAAGTGCAAGCGTGTCTGAATATCCCGTGCTCATGATCGACTACATGTGTTTGCAAGCTTTCCGCCATGATTTTGAGCGAGAGGCAGTCATTGCTGATGGAGATGGGGAGCGGGAGGCAGGCATTGCTGATGGAGACGGGGCGCGAGAGGCAAGAATTGCAGATGGAGACGAGGAGCGAGAGGCAGGCATTGCTGATGGCGAGGGGGAGCCAGAGGCAGGCAGTGCTGTTGGAGACGGGGAGCGAAGGCAGGCAGTGGTGGTGGAGACGAGGAGCGAGAGGCGGGCAGTGCTGATGGAGAACCAGGCGCTAGAGTCTTGGGCAGCGTCAAAATTCCAGAGGGGTTGACGTAGTGGTGGAGCGGTGCCCCACGGCGGGGGGCATGGCGGTGTGGTCTGCTTGTGACCGGGGCGAGATGAAGTGCAAGCGAGTCTGAATAAACCTTGCCCATTCTCGGCTAGACGTGTGCTGCCGGAAAAAAGTGCCCCTCCTGGAAATCTCGGGCGGCGTTCAGGGGGACATGCCGTCGTTCTGTGCTTATGATGGATGCGAGATGAATCGCAAGGGAGTCCACTCTCGAATGAAGCGTGCACATGATCGCTCAGACGTGTCCTGCCAGGTGGAAGTTTGTTTGAAATCTATGGCGGCGTGCCGGGGGTATGCTGGCGTGCCTTGCATGTGATGGTGCGGTATGAAGTGCGAGGGAGTCTGAATGAAGCGTACCTATGATCCACTAGACGAGTCCTGCCGGGAGTAGTTTTCTATCCTGTAAATCTATGGCGGCATGCATGGGAGAATGCTGGCGATCTCTGCTTGTGATGGTGGCGAGATGAAGTGCGGGGGAGTCGGGGAATAAAGCGTGCCCATGATCGGCCAGACGAGTGCTGCTGGGAGGAAGTTTCTGATGCTTTGTTTTTGTGCGGTGATTTGTGTTTTGACAGTCGGGCAGGAAGAAGACCAGGGAAGTGAAGGAGGAGGCGGTCCACTACGGTCCAACTGTCCGTGAAGGCGAGCACGTGTTCGGTGTTGCCCACATTTTCGCGTCCTTCAATGATACGTTCGTGGTGAGTGATGAATGATTTCTTAAAGAAATCGAGCGTTGTGCTGTGTGAAGTAACGTGGTTGTCGCGAAGGCCATGTCAAGTTTTTTTGTCCTCGTATTGATTGAGGGTAGTTTATACGGCTTCGAATGATGTGTTGTTTTCGCTGTGTGAGGTTCCTGATTTCGTTATGGAAGGACGTGCACTGAGATGACGATTCGTATGTTCTTTTGCGCAGCACGTAACGGATCTGTCAGGGAAGGAAACGATCGCCCGTGTTACAGGTATGTTCTAATCCTTGACCTTCTCTATTATCTTGTATCCATTATTTGCAGTCGAAAGGCTGTTTCCCGTCCTTGAGTAATTGTCGGTGAAGTGGGCGAAATAATTGCCTTAGGCTTAGGTTTATGAGAGTTTAAAGTCTGTTGGTAGTGACGTATGGACATGTGGTTGTGGTAAGGTTCGTTCGCAAGATGATGTATCTGCCTTGGTCTGTCTTGCCCTAAATTGGTCTGTTTTGCGGTAGAGTTTATCGCTGGTGAAATCTCGGCGCTGTCCTGCCTCGTCCTTAGTTGGTCTGGTTAGCGCTAGATTTTTCCGATGGTGAAATTTCGGCGCCGGCCGGTTGGCGTCCTCCTTGAAAACCGGTTTTGTGCCACTTTAAAATATCGGTTTTCTCTCGGTGTAATGCGGAGGGATGAAATATTTTCAGCCGTGTCTCGAGTCGAGTCGGTCGTTGAGTGTCTTGCCCTAAAGTGGGGTCTAATTTGGGTTAGAATCTTGTGCTGGTGAAATACGTGCGCTGACGAATTGTTGTCCTTCTTGAATTCCGGGTTCCTGTCGGTGTCGGCCCGTGTCTGAAGGCGAGTCGGTCGTTTGGTGTTGACTGTTTTGCAGGTGGGATGAAAGTGAAGGCGGATCGTGATGAAGCGTCTCCCTATGCGGCTATGCTTGCAGCACAAGACGTTGCACAGAGGTGCAAGGTGAGTGTATGAGTTTTTGCTTTGTTGATCTAGCGTCCGTGTCAGCTATGTTTTAGTTGTAGAAGGGCCGGTTGAAAATTGGTGACTGGTCAAGGGAGACAAATTGTGATCCTATTGAATAGTTAGGTCTTCCCTATGCGCCCATATTTGCTCCGCACAATCGGTTGGGTTGGAGCAAGAAGTATACGAGTGTTTTAGGTTTTTTGGGTCAGTGTGAGTATTAGGGTTTTCGCCGTGCAACGGCACGAGGAGAATTGGTGGTTGATGGAGGAAGAGCTAAGTTGTCATTGTATCGAGCAGTCAGGGAGGGCCGATTTACTGAATGTGGGGCGCCTTTGTCGATCGTGCGGGTGCGGAACGACGTCTAGTTATTCGAAGGAGGGTTTACACAACGGAAAAAGGGAGGTATGTTGATTGAGGTCGAGCGGATGTTGCCCGGCAGACCAGATAATTCCATAGGCGGAGCATTTTGTACCCTTATGCTCGATCGTTCACGACGTTTTCAGAGGTTGGGAGTTTTTCCGCCGGAGAGTATAATACTTCTTTGGTGTGTGTAGTATTGTTTTGCAATCCAATTGAACGTATTGTCAGTGGCTGTGGGACGTGTTTTTAGGTCACGTATGCTTGGCTTTGTGTCCGTGTCGTCGTGAATAGGTATTTGGCTGATGGTCACAGCTTTATTCGTATTTGCTTGTTCAAATGGCGATGGGTGGCTTGGTCTCCGTGTCGTGTTGAATATGGACTACTTTCTCTGTTGCCGTGAATAGTGGAGAGTAGGGCTGGCTATGGGTTGGCAGGGTCGTATGCTCTGGTCGGAGACGCAGGGCCTTCTCTAAGCTCACGACGCAGAGGAGCCTGAGGAGAGCACTGTGAGAGATCACGATGCTGAGGGGCGTGTGGAGTTTTCCGTGTGCCGCTTTGTCTGATCGTTTACTTATGATCGTTTAACCTGTGCAGGAGCTCGGTATCACTGCGCTGCATATCAAGCTTCGTGCCACGGGCGGTAACAAGACGAAGACCCCTGGCCCTGGTGCTCAGTCCGCTCTTCGGGCGTTGGCGCGATCGGGGATGAAGATTGGAAGGATCGAGGACGTGACGCCCATTCCCACGGACAGCACGAGAAGAAAGGGTGGTCGTCGTGGCCGTCGTTTGTAGACAGACTACTTCCTCGCATTGCTTTTCCGTACATGTGCGTTTTTTCTCTGGTGGGCCTTCGATCGAGGAGTTTTTTGTCATCGCGATGGATTGCGGTCTGAGCAGTTTCCAATTAGGATGGTGCTCGTACGGCGGAGTTAATGAGGGGAAAGGAGCTGTCTCTGCTGCTTTGTGTGGAAGCAAATTTTGATTTGCCCGAGGGAGCGAAGGCATACGTTCCCGCGGTGTTTGGTTCCGTAGTGTTCGTTCCGCCAGCAATGTTCCCGTAGCAACAAGTACAAATTTTCCGAGTGTTATCTCTTGTGCCTTTTGGCTTTTCATTCCAAACGATGACACGTGGTCCATCTTTTACGCAAATGCGTCTCGTCTTGTGCGATTTGACTATGGAGGATGAAAATCATGACACGTGGCGCTCCGTAAAGGAGGTCGTGTCATCTTGTCAGTACTGACGTTTGTGTGAACATGGAAATTTTGCAAACAAAAACAGAGAGACCAAGACGGGTTTGGTGGCCGCGGTGCAGTTGGTTGTCAACTGGTTGCTTTCTCCGAGACAGATGGCAGCGCGCTTGTCCCTTGCTGCGTAAGCACTGTTTATCAGATGGCAGAAAATACTTAATCCTTCGGAAGGAGTTCTTTCCACCTTGCTTTTTCTATTTCTACGTTGGAAGGAAGCCACTGAGAAACGCCGGGCGGTATGGCCTGATTGAGAGTTGCTCGGGGTAGTGAAGGGAAATCGCGTTTTCAATTATAAGTGTGACATTGTTTTTCAACACGTCCGTATTGTATGAATGTTCGACGTCCAATCTCTGCGACTGTGCATAAGTAAAGTTTTGATGTGACTCGTGGTGCTAGTCGCGCAGATGACTCTTGGGGCATTGCCCGGAAGACATAACACGGGTAATGTCTGGTACTGTCAAAGTCACTTCATGGACATCGCAGCATCCTCCCTCTCTCTCACTCCCTCTTTCACACGCACACCCATACCCTTGTCCGCACTCAGCTTTTTTCTTTTCCTGTGGTAAATTTGGATCGATGTATAGAAGAATAGCATATGCTCTGCCGTTATGAGACGGATGGTTCTCTTTCTCGTCCTGCTGCTCCTCCCCCTTCAAGCTTCCCCGGCATCGTCTCCGTGCATCTCTCTCTCTTACGCACACCGTTACGGCTTTTTGGCTGATCTCAAGTGCAGCATCTGTCTGATCAGTTCAATATCTGATCCGTGGTTCATCGGACCACACGAAAATAAAAGGGTGTGCGCGGCACGCTCCACTGTATTCTATTGTGGCGACAGCGGTAAAAATTCGTAGAGGTTGAGCTCTGCACTCCTATGACTGTCCCTGTTCAACGAGAATCCTAGATGGGCAGTGCTGCGATAGCCGTGACGGCAGCTATGGTCGCCGTCTTCACGCGAATACGCACGGTTATTCCAGACTGTCGCAGATGTAGCAGGGGAAGATGGGACTGAGTTCTCTAAATGTATAGAGTTGTATATCTAACTGAAGCGTTTATGGCGTTTCCCAAACGGAAACTGTCAGGTCTTTCTGGCGGGGGAGCATGGTAAATCATGACGATTTCGGTTAAATAAACGCCGAAATCCCATGCTGGACGTAGTCGAATGCCCAAAGGGGTATTTCATCGTAATAATGGAATTCTCTGCGCAGTGCTACCTTTCCGTTCACTGGAATCGCTTATCGAGACCGAAAATTGCCCCGAAATGCGGCTATTATTACCTGGCAACCTTCAAGTGTGAAATCGGTAAGTCGAATGCGATCGAACAAGGTGAACCTTTGACGACAGAACATGTGAGCCTTTGACGATAGAATAGAACGCCCGGTCATTATCGGCAGGTGTTGGCTGTGCGTTGTGCCGAATACAGCTATAATGGCCGGGCGTTTTGTTCGGGTGAAGACGGAGCGTACTGCTGCGAGATGCCCCGCCCAGACCAGCATATGGTCAGATGTGTTCATGCATGCGAACGATTTATCGGCAGAGAGACGACGACGGTAAGTTCCAGCGTAGGAGGAAGAGGCGACGATGAATGGTCCCTGGAGTGCCGTCTTCAAGCGAATGGAACGCGTGGTCGTTGTAGCTGTACTGGGCGTAGCCTCCAGTCTAGAAACAGCGATAACCAGGCGCCGTCTATTTGGATGATACAGTCGCCATCTACTGACACGTGCGCGCGTGGCTCTGAAAGCCTGCGCAAGTAAATGCACTTGAAACTGGAAATAAAATGAAGTAATTTCTCGACACATTGTCGCCGCTGAGAGTATGCCATTGCGAGCTGATGGCTTGCGAGATGGAGCACATGTCATAGTAAAAAAATTCTGGCCTCCTTTCTGATCGTCCTCGACCTCCCCGACACCTCCTCGGCAGTTCGCGCTTTCTTTGTAAGACGTCCAATGGACTATTTGTTCTATGAGTGTAATTTCTTTGATGTCTTCTTTTTTCCCTATTTATTAAGAGCAGGCAATCCAAAGCCTTGCGACCTTCAGAGGCGAACGTCCTATCTTCCATGCCCTCACCCTGATCCCGACCTGACAATTCTGCAAGGGTCGTTTCGCCGGGAATGAAATACCTTCTGATCGCATTTGAGGAAGGCTTTCACGACAGGTGGAGTACAGTTGAAGGAGGTTGTACACTGCACGTTTGACTAACCTCTTCCGTGCAAGATCTTCCTACGGGTTATTGCTGTATGTTGGCTGAAAGTTGCCCCAAAGACAGATATAATGACCGTAGAACGACCGCCGTGCAAGATCTCCTGCCGTTGATCTTGCACGAGCTGGTCTTCTCTTTTGCGCGAAGCTGCAGAAGAGCAATTGCTAGATCTAAACTGTGGAAGACGTGCCCCTGTAGGTAGTACAGGTCGGTTGTCCTACCCGACCTATATGGACTTCTGATCAAGTACTATACTGTGAATCGAACACCTAACGAAGCTGTCCGACGATCCCTGGACTGATCTGGCTCCGATCTCATCCGGCAAGTTATGCTGCATCGGCCCTGCGTAGCTGTCTACTAAAAGAGTACGATCGATGCCAACTGTACACTCGCTTTCTTTTGGACTCCCCTGACTTCACGTCCTTGCTGTCTTGTTCCAATGACATGTTCTCGCACTGATCGCATTGGAGATGCTCAGTCTCGCACTGATCGCATTG